CTAATTTCTGGGTAATGGAGTACATAAAAAATACATACAAAGAACATACGAAATTACAATTTGCAGGTTATGGGAAGTTGTGCGAAGTTATGCGAAGCATGCATAATCAGACCATTAGCCCTTCGAAATTTTCTGCTGGGCTATGCGTTACAGCTTCGCAAATTTGATTACATGTCTAAATAACACAGGTCAACTCACCACACACAAACTCCTTTGAACTTCGGACAAAACCTGTGGAACTGTCAAACTACAATTTTACTCTCTCAACTGAGAGTAAAATGATAACAGATGCCGAAGTGCACGGGAACGCAAAAAGCACTATTTCCTGTAAAAACGTCAGACGGTTAGTTTACATGTCATTGGTACTACACTGATTCGGCTGAAATATCACTAAATAATTATTAAAATCTATACATATTCAAATATTTCGTTGTTTACTTCCAGTTTTTAACAGATATAAGGTTCTTTGCTTTTACCGCTTACTGTTTTTGTTTGCACATGTAAATCAGCTGATCGTTTGACACTTTTCATGAACTTGCAGGAAAAACAACTCCGGACTAAATCCTGTAACTTCTGACTAGGAACAGTTGCTCAGTTACTCTCTCAAATGTGTTCCCACTTACAGGTTTTATGCCAATAGGAACGACTTCCTGTAAGTTCTGACTAAATCCTGTAAACCGGACTGCTATTTAATAGAAATGACAGAAATTGTAAAAGAGCAAATGAGATAAAACAGGTGATCTCAGCTGTAGGCATTTTTCGGCAATCAGCTGACAGTGTGTTTACTTAAGAATCTGTTACGATGATTCTTATTTTTGAATGACGTTTACTCCTTTATTAGGAGCGTTCCTTATCTCCCAGAAATAGTCAGAAAAAGTCCGAAGTAGTCAGATTTAGTCCAAAAAGCGTTCGTTAACTCGGAAATGACAGCTAAAATGAGAGAGCAACATCCAGTGAGAGTGACTCTCATCAGTCCGAAGTAGTCAGATTTAGTCAGAAGAATTTTTTCTGGCAAAATCCTGAAAAGTGTCAAACTCAACTAAATTTAAATTAACGGAAATTAAAGAATACGCAAAAAGTGAGAATAATCTAAAAAGTAAAAAAAGTGAATTGAAATTGGAAGGAGGCAAAAAATAATTGATGTAGTGTTTATTGTGCTTGTGCTTGTGTGAATGTGTTTTGTACATACATTTCCATTCTTATTTGACGTTAGCTTTGTTGTTGCCATTCTTTGTACTAAAAATTTGGTTTTTTGCGTTCTTTTACTTTTCCTGTTATTCTCTTTTAGTGAGCGCATTTTGCTTACGCTCTGGCATTTTGACACTTTTCAGATTTTAGTCCAAAAAGATAAGGAATGAACCTATTTATAATCAAAATTCAAAAATTTCCATGGTGTCTGAATAATTCCAATATTGAATAACTGGTTTTATTAAACTTTCTAAATACATTGATACCATTTTTTGCAGTTATTGAAAGAAAATTACTTAGCAAGATAGAAATTTGGATTTTACAACTACTTATAAAACAATTTAATAAATATGTAAAATTTTAATTGAATATGCCACGTTAAATGCGTTTCAACAGATATCTATGAGATATTTTAAGTATCATACATAATTCCCGAACCTTAATAATGGAAAACGGTTTTTAATAAAATTTGTTCTACACTGCGTATAACTCCAATACGTACATACATATATTATATTTGTAGGTTTGTAGCTATGGAATAAAAATGTGACCGGTACTGCAAAACTCATTAATAAATAAGCATACATACAGGAAAGCTACTGTTTTAATTTAGACAAAATATAAGGTGTTTTGAAAAACTGACTCTTGGTTTTTGTGAATTACATATAAGTATATTACCCCTATTGCGAGTGTCGACTAGTAATAGATAAACCATGAACCAATTAGAACAGATCTGACTGGTTGATGAGCAGCCATTTGCAATAGCATTTGAGAAAAATTTCGTGGCGCTTGTGATTTTGAACTTTGCTATTTCTGTTTTGGTTTTTACATCTCTTTATGTGTATTTTGTGCTTTATTTCAGTGATTTTCAAGCGATTTTCAATCATTTTTGTTCAAGTACCAAATACACAGAAATAATGAATTGGTTAGCACAAACATGCGCTCAAAACTACTTTAATATTTTGTTTACTTTTACCGAAATTACAAACGTAAGCCAGGAAATTACTATTTTCTTTTGCTTCATCTTGTGTAGTTGGACCACGAAGATATACGACTCTCATTCGATTATCGCTTTTCCATGGTATTGTGAATGTCGACTTCTCGTTCAATAAGCGTCTGCGAAAAGTTTTTAATCCCTCATCCTTCTACAAACAAACAGCTGTATATAGCGACTATAAACTATTCTCAATCACTTATTGAATCAGAAAACCGACTTTGAAAATACCACGGATAGTCGATAATCGACTAACAGTCGTTTATCTACTCTAGTCGACACTCGCAATAGGTGTATAGGTATATCTTTTTGCATTGAGACAAATGTGGCATTTTACTAATTCTAACCCGCAACTTCGCGCTGTTTATTCCGTTTTGTAATTTTTAATCAATAATTATACCTTACTGAATAAGATACGGTATTAAGTTACTCAACTTTCAGAAGTTCTACATCAAAGGTTAAGGTGGCATTGGGTGGAATAACGCCAGGATGTCCTCGACTTCCATATGCATAGTCCGGAGAGCAGATAAGTTTAGCGCGCTGGCCTACAGACAGCTGGGCAACACCTTCGTCCCAACCACGAATTACTTCACCTTTACCTAGTGTGAACTTGAATGGTTTATTACGGTCGCGCGAAGAGTCAAATTTAGTGCCGTCATCCAAAGTACCAGTATAATGTACAGATACCACCTGTCCAGTTTTGGGGAATGTGCTTCCTATTTTCGTGTTAAAAGCATACATATACACAGCGGAGTGGCAAAAAAGGTTAGAATGAGTCGAATATTTGTAATCAAACCATTTATACTTACCATCCCCGGAAGAAATAGGTACTACTTGCACGCCCATTTTAGTAAATAAGTTTTCTTTTACAGGTTAAAAGCGCAGATATCTACTCGAAAAATTTACTCTCAACTCTCGTCTAACAGCGGCGGTGAAAAAATGAGAATGCAGAAAATTCTTGTAGAGAAATTACGGAAACCACCAACATGGCGTATAAGCACGACATTACCATATGGAAAAATTTAACAGTACAGGGTGTTACTAATGACGAATTTTGATTGCTAAAGGTAGAACTTCATATCAAGCTTTATGCAGCGTTTTTCCTGCATTTAAAATGCAACATTTAGCACTTTCGAACATATGTTTTCGAAGAGCGTTCATGCTACCGCATTTAGCAAATGTACATTTACGCAAGTTCGAAATAGTATGCTTTTGACAAACAGCCGTGTTCCAGTCGCTTATTCAGATCCGTATCTATTACGATAAATTCTCACGGAAAAGATAATGTGCAAAAACCCCTACTGAAAAAGAAAAAAAAAATTTTTAAACCGAAAATTCAATACAAAAACTTGAATTGTTTTAACCATAACCGCACATTTGTTTGTGTATATATTCATTTGTCGGTGCAGTTAACTATAATTTCCACACTTAATTAGGAAACAAAACAAACAGAGTTGATCACAAACTAATCCAGATTTCTATCAGCATCATATCGATGTTGAATTTGCGTAACTTTTCTTTATCCAAATAATGTAAAATAATAAATGAAATCTCGATCGGCGATCACTGAAACCCAGCTAGCGACTGTATACTCGAAAAAGCAATGTTGCCACGTTTTCCCTTTAAACCATGTTCGAATCGTGGAAATTTTGGAAGATCACAGGGTTGCTTTTAGCATTTAGATTCTTAATGCAAAAATGGAGTTGCATTTAGGTGACGAATTTTGTATGGATAAATGTACATTTAGAGTAGCATTTAGAGCTAAATGCGCTAAATTTCTTTTACGCGTAAGCAAAAACAGCCCATTAGGGCGTTGTCTTCAGCTAACTTAAGCGTTACATGATCAAGAACTTGGATACAAGTTGCAATACATTCACACTTTTTTACTAAGGCTATCTGCACATTTCTGCGGAAGTTACTAATTCGTCACGACATTTCTGTAAAAATCATCGCCGATGATATCGCTACTATTTCGAATTCTTATCCGCTCTCGGGAAGAACTGTTAAACTAAGGCGTCACGTCTTTATGAAACGAAAGCGTTACAACAATTGGGAACTATTTCGATAGGAATAAGAGTTACTTGTGCGATAAAGTTGGAAGAGTTAAAGATTATTGGGTTGGCTAAATTTTTGATAAAACCTAATGAGAAATTTGGGATACCTTTGAGCTTGCAACCACAGCCGCAGACTTACGCCATTTTCATCCTGCTTTCGGCTCAAATGCACCCATATTTTATAAAGTTCATAAACATTTTAAAAAGCTGTTCCAAAACTTTGTAAAAAGACAATCAAACAACGCATCTGTTAACATTAAAAATATATTATTATTTGTTATTCGAATATGATAATGTTGAGACTATAAATAATAATAATAACAATAATGGTGGTTTAATTTCCCAACGGAGTATAATATTGCACATTAATTGAAAAATTAAAAAAAAACTGAGAAAATAAAAAATATGTATAATTTTATTTGAATGAACTTCCAATATTTGCTTTGTTAATTTTCAAAACTTCAGAGAGTCAAAGTCGTCCGGGCATCTTTAAGAAGATAGAAAAGCGACAAAAATGTTTTATTGATTTTGTGAAATGAGTAACTATCGCTTTGATAACTTCCAATCAAAGCTGGGTAAATGCAATTACATTACAATTACAATTACATTTCTCAGTAATTGTAATTAGGAACCAATTCCTCCAGCTCACAGCAAAGGAATCGATTACTTTTTCAATTCCTTGAAGTAATTTCAAATGGAATTGTTTTTTTCTTTAATTCCATTACAAGGAATTTCATATTATAATTGGAATAAATTACGAGCTAGTAATGTAATTTTTCTTTTCAATTCCTTTGAAAGGAATTGAAAATGTAATTTTTTCCCAATTCCTTTGAATGGAATTGAAAATGTAACTGATTTTTTTCGAATTCCATTCCTCCAAGTAATTTAAAGAGTAATCGAAAAATTAAAAAAAAAAATTGTTTACTCTTGAATTGCAATAGCTTTGCTAAATTACTTGGTTGCTAACTGCCTTGAATAAATAACTTATACCTAAGTAGTATTACTAATTGAACTTTAAGAAAACTGAATAACTTAAACTGTAGCTGTAGGCATAACCCGCCTGGACTGGAAATGCACTGACTTAATTGTGTATATTATGGTATCCTTAATTCTACCCAAAATGGCGTGCCTTCTGGGGCCTTTGAAGTACTCTTACTGGTATCCTGCGTTACAAATGAGGATAGAGTCCGCTTGAATTACGAGCCCTGTCGGACTGGAGATCCTACCTCCTAAGAGTTTTATAAACGAATTGCATTGCTATGGCTAAGTTTTGATGATAACACTGTAATGATGCTAAAATTACACAAAAAACGCCGAGACACGTAAAATTAATTTTGGGTAGTATGTTACAGATCTGTATACCGTTTTTTTTAGATAAGGTCATTTAGTCAAGTTATTTTCATTTTAAGTTTGCATTGCGAATGAAAAAAATTAAACTTTAACATGGTCCATATTTCCTGCTAGTATTTCATACAAAAAATTATCGCACTTCCACTTAACCCTTGCAAACTTGTTTATTTATCCATCGATTTTCATCGTTAGTAGTGTTTTAAGCCGCAAAGCAAGCAGGTATTGGCTAGTCTATACTAATATATAATTTGAAATCCGTTTTTTTCTGTTCGCAAAGCTCGAGACTTGCCAAGGATGGTCATAGGTTTCGATGTAGAAAAGGGTCGTGGCACCTACCATACAAACCGAATTTTTCAAACTGCATATATTTGTGGTAGAGGACTAGAACTGGGTATTGGGCTATGTATATACATGGGTGTCGCTACGTAGGGGCAGGAGGGACTCGACCCCGACACCCCCCCGCCTCCTAGACTTTGAAGCTTACCTTATATGTAGGCGTAGGTGACTTAAAAGATAACCTGTAAGCTAAAATATACCTCCAAACTAAAAAAAATGTACATCGCGCGGTTATTGTTGTCAAAATAAAATTTNTGGGCTATGTATATACATGGGTGTCGCTACGTAGGGGCAGGAGGGACTCGACCCCGACACCCCCCCGCCTCCTAGACTTTGAAGCTTACCTTATATGTAGGCGTAGGTGACTTAAAAGATAACCTGTAAGCTAAAATATACCTCCAAACTAAAAAAAATGTACATCGCGCGGTTATTATTGTCAAAATAAAATTTTCGAAGAATATCTATTTAATTTAGCGGTTTGACAATTTAGTTGTTAGCGTAATAATTGTCTTAAGTTTTTTTCAAATAATGTCCAGTGAAGACGAGTTTGAGGCAAGTGATAGTGGATGTGCAGTTAACTTAACTGAAAATAGTGCACCGTACAGAAAGCGATCATCTGAAAATGAAGAAGAATCAGGAGATTTGTCCACAAAAAAATACGACAAAATCAAGCTTAGCTCCATTTTCGATGGAACATATTTTGAGCTCGATTCCAATGTAAGAAAATTCATATATTAAAATGCGTGAATATTATTTTTTAAATTCAATTAATTAAACAGCCATCGTCGTCATCACAATCGTCAGAAACTAATAGCCAACTTCTTGCTCGCTGTTTGCTATGCAAAACAACAGCAGCGCACATCAAGGGAACACGCGGTGTTTCCTCAAATTTCCTCAAACACTTAAAGCGTTTGCATCCAGAGGATCACAAAAAATATTTTGAAGCAAAAGGATCACAATTTTTACAAACTAAATCAATAACCAAAAGCATAAGTTTGTTGGTACTCTTTTAAAATTTATTGTTGATGCAGCGCTACCACTAACTGTTGTAGAAAATAAATTTTTTAAACAATTGTTTGAAAATTTTGCTGTCACACTTCCAACGAGAAAAACTATTACTGGATTAATGGGAAAAAAATTGATTTACTGCAAAATACAATAGTTCAAGAGTTGAAGAAGGTACCATATGTTTGTACCACCGCAGATGTGTGGTCCTGCAAAACACGAAGTTTCTTTGGGTACACGTGTCACTGGCTTGATGATAACCAACAAAGACATTCTGCTGCATTGGCTTGTAAGCGATTTAGTGGTTCGCATACTTACGATCAGATTGCTGAATTTATGTGCAGCATAAATTCCGTGTTTGACATAGATGATAAGCTAATTGCCACTATTACCGACAACGGATCAAATTTTTGTAAAGCTTTTTGAGAGTTTGGTGTGGCAATGGATGATTTCGATTTAGACATATCCTTCGAGAGGCTGGACGAAGGACCTCAACGAATACGAAAACTCCCAAAGCACATTAGGTGTGCTAGTTATACCTTAAATTTAATTTCAAGTAATGACTTCATTAAGAATTTTAAAAATGACACTACTTTGTTCCAGAGACATACTCAAGTAAGATATACTATTTTAAATTACTTAAAGTACTTGTAGTATTCGACAGGATATTATCACCAATTATATTCGAAGCGTCGATGAATTGTAGATACATATTTATATATATCCTTGGCTCATTTAATTGCAATATTTTGTTATATTTTTTTAATGTGGAACCTTTTTTTTTTGTTGCTCAATAGGTGTTCGCTAAATGTAATAACTTGTGGATGAAAGCGGGAAGACCAAAATCTTTGGAAATAATGCGAGAGGAGTTAGGTGTTTTGCTTAGTTACCCAGTTGTCACCAGATGGAATTCTGCTTATGACTCCGTGCAGAAAATTATATCTAGAGATCAAAAGCTTTATGTCATATGTACAAAATTGGAACTTCCAGCATTTACAGAAGAGGACATGCTTTATCTTAAGGATTATGCTTCTGCTATGAAACCTTTCGCTGACGCACTCGATTTTTAGCAAGGAGAAAAAGGAGTTTTTTATGGGACGCTTATTCCGACTTTGGTAACGATCAAAACCAAAAATGATCGTATTATTAATAAAGGCAAGGAAAACTACCTGAAGCAACAGCTAATTTTTTTTGCAAAGTCGATTGTTTGATAGGTTTGAGAAATATTTTACCTTATCTTCGGAAATCAATGACACAATTGGGGCAGCCGTACTTCATCCTGAAGTAAAACTTAAGTGGTTTGCTCCAATTACAGATTTGACTAGGAAATCTGTAGATGAAGTTAAAAAACTTGTAATTGACTACGTTGCAGACAACCATGTAGTTGGCTGTGAAGAATAAGCTCTTTCTACGACTTTGGCGACGAAAAAAATAGTTTTGGTAGCAAAAAATAAATTATGTATACATACATATATGCTTCTTATTTCAGTATATTGTATCTTTTTCAGAGCAAACTACGGATGTTTTATCCATTGACCGAGAGGTAAACTTGTACCTTGCCGATCCTTTCTTTAATGACTTAAAGATATTGAAGGAATTACCGCTGCTAGAAAAAGCTTTTAGAAAGGCGAATACACCGTTGACCTCCTCGGCGCCGGTTGAGAGATTATTTTCATTTGCAGGCATTGTAAATACTCGTACACCACGGCGCACAGTGTAAGATTTGACCCATCTAGCTGCTTTTAATTCTGTAATTCGAAAACTATTGAAGATAGATTAATGAAATTTGGCACAAGGTACGTTATAAGATAGGCGAAGCTTTTTACAAAAAATTGGTAATTTATAGTTACTGTCACGCCACCCTATTATATAACTGCAATTTAAAAAAATGCAAAAACTGAAATATTTAACTAACTACAAAGGCTAAAATGCCCAAAATTTATATTTAGAATTTCCCTATAACAAGGAATTATAAACTGACAGAAATGGACTTAAAAATAAATATATTTTTTTAATTATGGGCGTGGAAAATATCGATAAAAAAGTCAAGTTGGGTCAACAAAATTCCGTTATAAGTTCAATATTTCTTGCTCTATTTACAAAAATGGGATACCATTGGAAATGTAATGAATCAGGCTTTCTCTATTCAAAACAAAAATACAAGAATTTGTCTCGGTCGAGATAAAATGAAAATGAATTACTCGAAGAAAATGAAATTCCCAGTAGGCCAGAAAAAAGAAAATTTCATCAAAACCTGCACTTTCCAGCAGCTAAAATTGTGTTGTTTAAAGTCTAAGAGGAGTGGCAAATAAACTGAGATACAAACTTTATCGAATAGTGGCGGATAACGAGTTTTCGGGTCTAATAAAAATAATAATTTGCTAAAAATAAGTCTAAGTCAACATCGTTTTACTTTAACATGAAATACTCAGTCCTAGTTTACTAAATTCCCAAAAATGTATATTCATTAAAAAGATCATACCTAAAAAAATAAGACCAAAATGATATTTTAGCAATTGTTGCATAAATCACATAACACCGACAAATTAAACATTGAGATTCAGTTTCAAATATACAAGCTTAAATATTATTGCGCTCAGTAATTTTCCAAATCAAACCCCGTCCCGCCATACACTTTGATTAACATTTTTTAGTTGTTATTGTTTCGTCTTTATCAGGCATTTCTAAAAACATTCTTGACGTTGTTTTGAAGTTTGGCGACATAAAATAATGTAATTAATCTTTTCTAGAATATGGAAATGATACACTGTGCGGCGCCATGCTCTCTCCGACGACCACTTCGAAATGCTGACTTTAATGAAAGCCAAAGCACATTTCTTGAAGTGAAATATCTTTATTTGTTGTTTATAGTTCATTTCACAATTAAAAAAATAATATGTCTTTGCATTTATTTGTGTTTGATTTGTTTTGCCAGGAAATAAGGTTCAATACTTTTAGGAAAAAACAAGCTGTACCCAGCAATGCTTTGCTGTGGCACATTCCTGTTACATTGATGAGAAATAAGGAACGAAACAAAGAATACGTTTCATAAGCCTGTTTTTCATTAGGTCATATTTGACGCCAAATGTTGAAATGAAAACGGGTTGTCATCTGGTGTCATTTGCGTTTGTTGTCCTATATTACCAAGCAAGGTCATATAAAATGACATCCAAATGAAAACGGCCCTCGCCGCTGATGTGGCAGCATTTGACAACCAAAATGTATTTGCCAACATGTTGGCAATTTTGATTTCGTTTGGCATGCGAACAGCTGATTCTAGCTACAATACGGACCGTTTAGCTAAAAAGAAACCAAAAATGAGGATCGATAGAACTTTTCACGCTGATTTCAACCATACCCAAATTATTTGGGGCAAGTAAAAAACACAGAAAATATAACAGGTTAAACTTCAACTTTCCTTTTTCTTACATGTAAATCTCGGAAACGACTTGACCGATTAGAAAAGTATTGAATTCAATTCAAAGATTATTTTAATGGCTTTTTGGTAAACGATATTTAAAGAAAATATATATACTATTTCAATTTTTTCCACTACTTTCGTTAAATTTTGCACTATAACAAACCTTTCTATATAAGGTAATAACTTGTACTTTCTAAATAATATACATTTCTGTAGCATTAGTTATGCAATTTTCTTCAAAAAGGGAAATTTAATGAAAAAATTAAATTTTTTTGTTTTTTTTTTGTATTTCTGACTCCAAAATATAAAAAATCAGAAAAATTATGTACATCAACCGAAATATAAACTAATCATCTTTATTTTGATGTTTGTAGTTGTTTAATCGGTTATGTAGTTCATAAGATATTGATATTTCAAAATATCGAAAAATTTAACTTAACCTACTATATCTTCTTAATTTTTTACTTGCGCTAAATAATTTTGATAAGGTTAAAATCAGCATGAAGAGTTCTATCCAATTACATTTTTGGTTTGTCTATAGCTAAATGGTCGGTATTCTATACTTTTTGTAAAAATTTAACATCACATTTGACATCAGTAATGAAAACGGAATGTCATTCATTTGACACCGAAATTTGACGACAGTCTTTGACATGCCCTGCGGTATCGACATTTGGTCAGTTTTTAAAATGTAGTGAAAACGCATTTGACATCAAATGAACAGCTGTCAGATGAAGGCAGTTTTTGATGTCAGTGATTTTGTCCTAATGAAAACCAGCCCTAAGACGCACGAATACTATCATATCATACATGTGTCGACGTCGCAGCAGCAATGTTGTGTTTTGTTGTAGAAAATGTCCTTTCATTAATGCGCAAATGAACAAATAAAAAAAAAATAAGTTTCAAGATCTGAAAGTTTTTAGCTGACGGTGGTAGAAGTAGTAGAAATGTAAAGTGTTATCTATTCCACAAATGTGGTGAAGTCCGAGCACTGACTGTTGAGCAAAACTTCCCCTGCAGGGAAACCGCGGACTAGTGAATCAAATTTCTAGTTCCGTACTAGGTTTTTATCGCCAAAAAGGAACTAGTCCGATATGAACTAGATCCCCACCAGTCCAAAATCGGCGAAAAGTGGTACTTTTAAAATACCATTTTTTTTCAGTTTTTTTTGCTCTAGAAATCGATATCTGAAGTGACGAATTTAGAAATGGTTCGGAACTATAGAAAAAGGGATGCAGAACGAACTACATCTTATTTGTCGAATTTAGAACAAGTTCGGAACTATCGAAAAAGGGATGCAGCGGGGGGCTTGTTTACTGTGCATAGGTATGTGTTCGGCGGCTTTTTCGTTCAAATACGCTTCTATTCTGCGCTTCGCAGATGCTTTTTCATAGCTTGATAATACAAAATTAAAATTTGTGTTAACATTTCAACATCTTGGGACCGTCTGGAATCTAAGAAATAACAGCGAGCACCTCTGCAAACTCAGCTACAGCTAAAGGTATGTAAACGTACATTTCTTACAATCATTCAAACAAATTTAATTTCAAATTAAAAACACATTGCTTCCAAAATAACTTAACATCGCACACACGGAAGAACCAAAAAGATTACAAAATTATGATACTTTTTTTCTTTCGTCCGCCGATTTCAGAACTGGTTCGGAACTATAGAATTTAGGACTTGTTCGGAACTATCGAAAAAGGGATGCAGCGGGCGACAATTGACACTTCCTAGGACATCGCCATGTTAAATTCGCCAGTTGCTTGCATGCAAAAGAGATTTATCGCGACCCAATACTGGGTCTAAATGTACTAGAAGCGCACCAGTTCAGAACTAGAGATTTTCCCCACAGGGTCGCTGCTTCGCACAAAAGCGCATGTGTGTGATAGTGTGAGTGCCCACCTCTGACATAAAGTAAGCACTTACGAAAGGGTGCTGCTGCACTTGGACAGGCAAATCCAAAAGCGAATAGGAACCTGTAAGCGAAAAGGTTCCTTTAAAAGAGTCTTGCGAAATAATCACTATTTTATAAGTAAATAAATAACTTACGTGTGTGTGTGTGTTTGGAACGCTAACGTAGTTTGTGGCGCCCCACTTGGACATGGAAAACACCAAAAAAAAAACCCAAAGAAACTTACCGTGGTAACTACGAGATGATATTCTGTAAATAAATACTTTAAATAGATTAGTAAATTAAAAAATAATAGCAATTTATTGCAAAACTTACCAGAATTAACGCAATCGGAATGGCAAATGTCAACGAATTAATGTAAAGGAGATGACAAAAACGAGTCAGTGATGCCAACGGATATTTAGTATGAAGAACTTTAGCTTTTACTACCAATATGACTAGAAACTATAGTCAGCAACATTCTGCACAAGTAAAAGAGCCGATTTTATGTGTGGGAGCGAGAAGACTGTTTTATTACAAAACCTTTTTTTTATTGAATCATGGGTGCAAATCTTATGAAATTAACAAAATTGCCTTCGCATAGAATAATATATCTAGCCACACCAACTTTCCGCGAATGTTTGACGCACTGACGCAGCATTTGCATTCACTTATGAACGAGAACGACAGTAGTGAACGTTCGCGAACGTATCGATGCAACTTATAGCTACATAGTTATATGAACGCACGCTGCTTGGTCCACCAACACATAGGTACGTGTACGAACAGCGGAATATTTTTCTACCTAACATTCGCGAACGCGAACGATCTGGACTTGTTTTATGTTTCTCGTTCGCGACAGCACTTACCGCGTTCAGAGTGTATCAACTGAGTAACTATGGCACTCGAGGAGGACCAACTGAGACCACAGAATGTTCCAGGTCCCTAAAAGTCAGTTAGTGATCCTTCTTGTGCCTACTCTTCGGCACTCGTCGACCTCATTTTCTTCGATTCTACAGTATCCGTGTTTTGGCTTCCAAAATTTGGTGCATGTCGAAGCAGTCTCTAAGCAGCTTAGATTTCATCGTCCTGTTTTAAAGGGCCCGGATGGCTGCTGGGCTATCTGAAAAAAAAAACTGGAAAGAGGTCCTTCAAACCAGGGACCTAAAATAAGTTTTTTTTTTTTTTTAAGTGACATTGGCCAAATATTTATATAAAAGCATATATGTAATACTTCTATATCGGCAGTAAGCTAACTTCTCAATGTGTAAGCATTCCGAAATCAAAGCGAGACAGTCTAGTACTGTTTTTGTCAATGTATTGTGTACTTGAGTGCCGGTTTTGTAAATGTGTCGTGTACATGTTTATTTATAAACGTATGTGTTCCTTTTCTTTCGTACGTGTTTATTGATATATCTGTACTGTAGTGTTTTCGGACGGTACTAGCTCTTACTGCCAATATAGGAGTATTACATATATGTATAAAAGTCATTTCCTGATAATAAAAAAACCGCTTATCCATATTAAACAAGTTCGGTATCAAATGAAATAGGACTAAAATAGCTTAAAACTGAAATGTCTAAACGAGGAAAGCCACCTATTGTAAAATCTGTAAAGTGAATCTTCGGAGCTCAGATCGCTTTGGGATTTCGAACACTATGTGCTGATGATCCGAGAGCGATGCTGCAGAGTGAGATATAGTACCTTCTCTCTGACGACAGTGATAAAGGTAGGCTTGCAATCCCTGTCCGCCAAGTATACGTTTATTTGCATAAGACATTCTAAAAGGTCCTTACTCCTTTCGTTGATGTTGGAGCTGGCCCTCACGGTGTGGTGGTCATTCCCAAATTCGACTAGCACTGCACCTACAAAGGTGGTATAGCGTTATCGTCACCTGAGAAGGCACCTAGAAATAAAAGGAGTAAGGGGTGTATTATTGAGGTTGCGGTTATTTAAGAGTGGCGCGTGTCCTCAAGCCTGTCGTAGATTAACCTACCTGAACTACCCAGTGCTATTGGCCTCCGCTAAACGACGGTTTTCGCAACATACCTATTGCGAATTTGCGTTCGCTGTGCCACCTTGTCATGATGTCGGTTAGTCTGTAGTACCGTTTTGGTCCTCATTGCTTTCGTTGAAGCGACACTTTAACGAGACATGCTTTTTTGTCCCGTTGGGACCCCTTTTCCCTGGCATCCCCGGTCGGTTTTGGTCGACCGGCAGTAGTGGCGTTTGTTGGCTTGAAAGCAACGCCTTATTTTCGTCCAATGGCGGCTTTCAACGTGGGCAGTCGAGTCTCACTAGATTCCACGGATTTAGTGTAATGCCATATGACAAAAAGTTAAGAATATGGGCTATTATGTATGGCGACTGGTGTCTAGTTGCCGGTCTAGTATCCATGGCTACCAGTATCGTGCTTTGTATTATGTATATATAGCGATAAATCTCAGGATACAGAAAAGCGCAGACAACATCCGAATTTAACAATTTATGTAAACAAATAGCAAAATTGTTATAAGTGGGAAACAGGAAATTGCGCACCTAGACTAAGTAGCTGACAGTCAGTAGCCAGTTGCCATAAGTAATGCGAATTATTTTAACTACGTAAGGTCCATTGCCCTGATCATGTCGGCGAGGAATACCGACGAATATGAAATGACGAACTGTACAAGTTTGTTAACACCGTGAATATGGCTCAACTCATAAATATACGACTGCGCCTTGGACGTGTCAATTCACCGATAAACAGCTCTTTTCTGCGCTGGTAACAAACATAGGCCCCTATTATGAGTTGCATTCGATTTTCGACTGTGGTCGAAAGTGCTGAGCGAACGAATTTTCATTTGGTATTATGGCGCTCATTCGATGAAGAATAGCGCTATTGTGAATTTCGCTCGTTTAGGTTGTTCACAATAGTATATTTTTCACCGCTGAGAAGCTTTGTTTACAAATCGAGAAAACTAAATAGTGTGCTTATACATATTTATGTAAATTTGTTCTAATTAAAATGAAGTAAAAAAGAAAGCAAGTTTATAAAAACGTGGTAAAATGAGTACAACGAGTTCTGGTTCAACGATTCGTCAGAGGATGAGAGCTTAGTAAACTGGCCAGGAGTAGCAAATGTTTAAGAGAGTTTAAGTTTATTAGTCTTTCGAATATATTTTGATATAAAATATATTTAAGAAATTTGTCTACAGATTCATTAAAAAGTTCCGACCATCTAAAGAGGCGTTTGTGAGCCAAATCTATTTAAAATATTTTAAAACTATCAACAGCGCTACGATTTTGTTCTCAGAGATCGTGCCAACAGAGTATTGGGATTTTCTTTCACAAGTAAAACCAGCCTTTCGAGCTTGTGTTTAGTATTCACGATGTTAGAACTGCATGAAATTAATAAAAATTGTTTAAAATTAGTGTCTAGCCGCCAAAATGTAAGAAAACATATACAAAATCATACATTTTTCACAATTTTCTAACACTTCGCTACACCATCGAAAGCAAAATTCTGTTCGACAGAAAATTCGATACTCAACGAAAATTTCGACACGCTTGCATAGCTCATAATACAAATTTCACTTTCGATCTTCGATCTCCGATAGCCAGCGAAGATCGAAAATCGAATGCAGCTCATAATAAGGGCCATATTGTAACCGGTAAATAATGTTCACGTCAACTTTGAGCCCTTTTTCGCATTCTGCGCACTCTTGTAAGCGGTAAATTTTGTTACCATCTCATAAGCTGGTAACAAAATATTGCCCCGTGAAATATGCAATGCCAGTATTTCCACAAATCTTCATTGCTGAATCGCGGTGACAGTAAATGGTGAAATTTTATTCGGCAATAAAATGTTCGGTTATAAAACCATCGGTAACGCGCAGAATAGACCTGTAAGACTCGATACCTATAGGACACCAAAACCAAGAGCGCGCACGAACTATATGGAAACACCAAGTGCAGAATTATGTATATACACTTGGGAAGCTTCGTAAAACATATACATATGTATATATGTATGTTTTCTAAATTTTTCCAGTATAATCAATTGAAATTAGTTGATTAAACTTTTAGAAACTATACAGTTGCCCCGTGAATTATTGCACACCCTTTATATCATGATACAAAAAGAAGGTAGTTTCATTTAATGACATTCCTTGTTGTTAACCATTTAACTATTAATAAAATTATGACATTTCGTTAAATTCATGCTACCTGATCACGAGCAGAAATATATATATTTTTTTTTTAAGCAGATGATTTCATCAGTCGACTCAAAGATGTCGAATATGATGAATCTGGAAGTTAATGCATAATCTCCAAAATGGGCTTGACGAAACTAGGTTTCAGAACGGATGAAGAAAGTGATCAAAATTATACTTATGCTAATTGCGGAGGGCGTTATGCGTAAGCCGAATTCAAGTTTTTTGCATACATTGGAAATTTTAAATTCGCAATTTGTTGAAGTTAATGGTGATACGCTAACCACAAAGCCTAATTTTTTGCAAAATCTGATGAGAAATTTAAAAGTAAATTTTCACGAATTTCATCACCAATCACGGATTTCATGTGAACAAATATTCCCAAAATTATAAAGCAAAACAAAAATAATTTTACCCAATTTGTTTTTGTTTTGCATCTTGGTTAGTTATGAGAACAATTTATTCACATGGAATTGGCGATTATAAAAAGATTTATTTGGAAAGAGCATTCTTTAGAATTTGATTTTTAAATCGCAAGATTGCATTCAAAATAAGAAAATGAAAAAATAACAACATAATGCTCTCGTGATTTTTATTATAAAATAAAAAGAACAATTTCAATGAAGTCTCCTTTAACATTACACATTTTATATATTTTTAATAAAAAAACCACGAACCACGTAAGTAAAAAAATTACCAAGTACTGATAATGATTTTTGATTTGATATATTATTAAATTGGTATAAATGTGGGAAAGAAAATACTCCGATTTATTGTTTTAATATTATCAAAGTGGCAAGGCCGTTGAGAATACTCACAATTTATGAAACTTCAAAAAATTTTATTATCCGTCAAAAGTTGTTTATTGAAACCATGATACAAAAAAGAAGGTAGTTTCAATAAACAACTTTTTGATTAAAAAGCAGATTTTTGACAATTGCTCAATTGTGAAAAATTCGAAGCGGCGTTACCCAATTGTAAGTTTTTTTGTGTGGGAGATTTAATATCCTAAATTTGGGATTATAAATAAAATAGTTGTGTAATATTTACCTTTTAAAAATAATTAATATCTTATCTTAAAAACGTTTGAATTTTACATTAAATTCGGTAGCAACTTGCCAAATCATTATTTTAATATTAATACAATTTTAGTGAACATATTTAAAAATTTTTTAGGGTCCTCATGTCATCTGATTATTTCACAATGTAGTTTTCTATATCGGATACGATGACTCTGATATAATTCAGACACTGAAATTATACATTTATTTAATACATATTGTCTTTGTCCATTTAACAGCAAATGGAATTTACTTTGGGACCCATAGGCCGCGAAATTTTTCCAAC